AAATTTCAACCTCTATTGTTAGGACCGGTCACGTGAGGTGGTCACTCTTTTTTCGAAGGTAATCGAGGGATCGATATAAGGCCTGATGGGGGTAATCTCGTAATGAATACGAGGGCCTCGACATTGAATAGGCGAGGGAAAGACAGGGAGAGGAGCCGGGGAGGAAGAAAGACCGATGAAGCCGAGGAGGTAGAGGAGCACGAACTTCTCGGCTCGAACACCTTGCATCCAATTTGAGTAATTGCTGATTACAGCGGCAGATGCATCGGCGTACCTTCATTAGAAATCTATTAGCGTTACCGTGACTCGCGAGTGGGCTCATAATTTATATTTCAGTCCCTCGCGCGCCATGGGAGAGGATGCCATCCATTGCGCTCGGGAATGGCGGGGGTAAGGCAGGAATCGAAGCGTTTCGCGTCAACGATAGCATAATCACTTTTTCACATTTTCACATTTTCACATTTTCACCTTTTCACTTTTTACACTTCTCACTCTTTCATACTTTCACTTTTTCACCTTTTCATTTTTCACATTTTCACATTTTCACATTTTCACATTTTCACATTTTCACATTTTCACTTCTCACTTTTCACATTTTCACCTTTTCACTTCTCATTTTTTCACATTTTCATTTTTCACTTCTTCACTTTTTTTTCCCTCTAAACGGCCAAACGACGACACGGATTTTTGCACGCGACAACGGACACGCATTGGCGTCCAATCTTGAGGTTTCGATCGAGCCTTACTTTCGAATACCGGTTTTGATTTCCGGATAACCGATAAACCGTCGACCTGTCCCATGCCAAATGTCAGGGATTCCGGATGTCCTTGAATCGGAATCGCGACACGCACCCGTCCGGCCGATCATTCCAATGAGGTCCGATGTCGTAATTCAGGGGACGCGATCCTCTTTCCAATGACTTTTGCGAAATGGCGCTCGTGTTCGCAATTATTTTGCAATTAACCAGAACGATGCCGCCCCGAGAGACAGTTTCGGCCTAATCTGTATTTCCGAACGGCAGCTAATTTTACGGGTCGGCGCGGAGCAGGCCGATAAGGCTTGTCTCGCATTTGAATAATTCGCGTCTAATTCCGTTCCGGGTGCATAAATATGAACGTTAGGCATTATGCTCCGAGGGCATCGGATCGATCTCTGGTGTGTAGGTCGAATTTTCGTTCGCCGGCGGTCCGACAATTGCGTTTCTCTCCTCTTTTCTGTCAATTTTTTCACCTCGCCCCTGGAGGTCTTATCAGCTTATTCCCCTTTCTAAGAATCGGGGGAAAGAGAAGAGGCAAGAAGCGCAAAGGGTCCGGCGCCGAGAAACAAAGTAGACAGAAGTGGACCCTTCGCGGAAACCCCGTTCGGGAGATAATGGGGAAGCAGAAGAACCGAAGAATGGGGACTTTCGCGGAATCGCTCGATGCATTCCCGACGTGCATCAACCTCGGGCGACGTCTTTTACGAGGCGCGGCCCGTTGGTCCGTGATTATCCACTTTCCCGGTGGCCCCGTCTTCGGCCGAACTTCCCGGTACTCGTTGGAAAAACGCGGCCAGCAATAAAATCCCGAGGCCCGAAGGATCCTCCCAACAGTCCCTGAGAACAAACACCGGTCGGTGAAAAAAATCCTCAGGTGATCAAAGAGGTTAACGCCGCAAGCGACAATTGGAAAAGCTCTCGAAACACGTGAGAATTACCATCAGAATATAAAAAGGGTATTGTCACCTCTATTTTTACCTCATTATCATGAGGTAAAAATCTTGAAAGGAGATCGATAAACAAAAATTCGACGGCGATTTTTTTTTGGTCACGAATTCCGCGTGGCCTTGAACATCGATCAAAGTTACGGTTCCGAGGCTGAAGAGGTTTCGTGTGAAAAATTACGGGAAAAAAAATGAATACATACCCTACGGGATGTACAGCCAGAGTCCCGGCGCCCTTCCTGAAGTCAATGACTACCAGGAAGGAAGGTGGGTACGAAAAACACCGGCGGGTAAAAAAACGAAGAACGCCTCGCCTCGTAAAACCGGGATCCCGAAGGTGCATCGAACGACCCCGGTTTAGCGGGCGCGTAAACGCGAAATCGTAACGCCGAAGGGCCCCTTACGCGGGCATAATTGCACGCCGGGCGCGCATACCGCTGCGGCACCGGCGCTGCGGCGCAGCGTAGTAGGCCGTAGGAGGCTGCAGCACCGTACAGCAGGCAGAACCGAGCCAGCAGTGCCACTCTTCGATTCCCGAGCTTTACGACCGACCTGTCTAGACGGTCTCGGCTGTTATAATACGTTTCTCGGTGGCGACACCAGGGATAAATCACGAGCCCTCCGCGGCTCCAGGAGTCGATCGAGATCGATCGAGATCGATCGATCCTCGAGCATCCGCACTTTTCCGGCGAAACCGCGGCTTTAATCATTGGATTACCCAATCGGGGTAAAAAAACAAAAGAAATTCGGTATGCAGGGAATTTCCTTCCAAGGTAATCGCATGTTTACGTAAAACGACCGGAAGGCTAGGGACAGGTGAACGGGGTTGGAGAGTACATTATTAAGCAACATATTTCCTCCCCTGGAGGAAATAAATATTTCGAACCCGTGGAAATTGACTTCGGACATTTTGAACGACCCGAGGTAGAAGCGTTTCTTTACATCACAATGGAGAGGTTGGGATCTCGACGGAAAGTCGGGGAGGGAAAAACAAGATGGCGGTAGAGTAAAACGTTCGGACTCTTCCCGGCCGCATCGTCGAAACCGCGATCTATCGGCCCCTTTTTGCGCACTCTTTTATTTCACATCGGCTCCGTTTCAACGGGCCCCTTTCGCCCATTATGCCCGGTGTTATTCCGCGGATCTTTTTACGTCGCATTGTGTGGTAAGGAGACCTCGGCCTCCTCCCTACGCCCCGCGTGACGCGCGAGAGGCCCGCCGGCCATTGTTTCCAGTTTTTCGGGACGGCCGCGTGGGCGTCGCCATAATGATGAGCCATGGAAAAAGCGCGGTGCATCTCGCCATGCATCGGGTGTGCCAACGTTGAAAACGTCTATTCAAACAACGAAGCCATTGGCGTAAAGCGAGCTGCAAACATTGCTAGCCAATAAAGCGACAAATTGTGAATAAATATAAAATACATATCGGCAGGTTTTTAAGTAACATCGAAGAGTGGTTTTTCCATCTTAGATGTCGAGCGATTCGATTCGCAACGAAGTATCGAGAACTGCTTGACGAAAAGCGATTACAACTCGACCCGGAGGATAATTTGTGTAGATAGGCATCGATAATCGTTGGTCAACACCTGCCGCGAACGATGCGGGTCGGTGGAGGAGTGGGGAGGAAAAGCGAGCGCGTGATTGGTCCTCGCGCGGCGCCAACGGAAAGTGAGGGCCGAGGCGAGCCGCAACCGGCCGACGCGCGGCGCCAACGGAAAGTGGGAGGCGAGGCGGGTCGCGATTGGTCCGTGCTCGATTTTCTCGAAAGAACCGGCGGAGCATTCCTTCCGCCCTGGATCGTGTAACCTGGGTGCATTAATACTCGTACACAGGCGCACCTGTGCCGATTACGATGTGACGTTAAATCAGCGTCGCGATAAAAGTTCCCCAGGTATGCAACACCCGATTAAAGGCGGCCGCCAATGTCCGCGCGGTTATGGAGAGAGGAACGCATAACCCGTGTATCGGAATTCCGCGATCGCGTAACGACTCAATGCTCGATACAGATTTTACGGCGTTTCGAAAGAAAACCGGCAGTTCCGCGCCTGCGAAATCGCGCCGCCCTTAATCGGCAGTTATGGCGTGTCCAACGGCCGAAAACCGCTCTCCACCCCAAGGAACTTTAAGATCGAATTATTATTTATTATTATTATTTATTATTCGAACTATCAAGTTTGAAGAAAAGTACTTCGCGTGTAATAGGAACTTTGCAGGAGTCTGATAAATCTCTCGATTTACCCGGAGTCGTAGGGAAACGCGGTCATCCCGGACTCCGGGTATAAAACTCGCTAAAGGATTGGCTATATTCCCGGCCATACATCACGGCGTAAACGTAGGTAGATCAAATGAACCCTGAACAGCCGTGATTATAGAAAGTAGGCATATCCGACGCGCGTGGGAGTGAGGAAAAAAACGAGAGGCTAACTCAAAGAGATAAATAATAAACATTCCGGCATACGAGCTTCGTCGGCTCGACGAATTCAAAATGGCGGCGCGAAGACCGGCGCGGCGACTTCGAGCGCCATAGCGGTGCAGCGGTCAAGAGCCGCGACAGTTTTGCGCCAAATTGCTGATGCATATTTACGTTACGTAGTATTCACCCGTTGAAAGGTCCTCTCCGTGGTTCCTGTTCTCGAATTCCCTTGGTTCTCACGACCTCGAGCGCGGCGCCTAGGGTTTTACATAACCTCCAAGGGAAAGAACGACGGACGAATCGTGATCGGGGGATCGGCGCGCGTGTACGCGACGAGCGATTAATTAGCTCGTCCCACGCGACTCGCAAAGGAGACTTGCTTTACCGACGTAGCCTTACACGATCGATCGGTCGTCCGTACCGCGAGTGTCGAGTCTGTAGACAGTGTATGTACGACTGCCGGTAATGTATTCATTAACGATGATGTAACCGCCGACTCTTGAGGCGACTCGAGTGGGGAAAAGGAGAGACTAATGGGTCACGTGACCGAGGAAGAGAGACGCCGCGCGAAAGACCGGGAGATGCTGCTGGGGTCACAAGATATCGCCGGCTGCGGGCACGCCGGCGACCAATCGGAGAAGACTCGGCTCACGGACGTGGAGATTTCAGCCTCCGTTATCGCGCCCCACTGTACGCTTGATTAACCGTGACAATTATGAAAGTGACGCGCGCCTTCGTCGGATTTGTATGTCTCGCATGCGCGAGAGACTTATGCACTCGCTACGCGCAACTTCGCTTGTTTCTACCAGGATGTTACACGTTATATAGAATGCCGCCCGATAGCGCTAGGAATGATGCATGGCGGACGCTCGCGCCGATTAATTGCGGTAATTATTCAGCCGAATACGTTGCACGAAACGCGTTGAAGGTAATCCTTAAGACACGGAAAAATGTGTAGATTTATCATCGTGTTAACAGGTTTTTTACCGTCAGGTGTTAAATGGTTGCGTGGAATTAACGTTGAATTTCGTTTCATGCGGCTAAAAAAGGCTCAGGTAGATCCGCATGAATGGAGAGAGGGAGAGGAGAGAAGCTTCGATCCGGGAAGAGAAATACCGGCCCTAACGTTTACATGAAAGGTGCGGCCACAGCCTAATAACCCGAATGTAACCGGACACACCGCCGAGAGAGAGGGGGCGAGGGCGCCCCCGCGCGCGCAAAGGAGACGGAGAGAGCGCCACGGGGACTGCCATCGAAATAAGACTATCGAGATTCGGAACTCGTGCGTGCGCTCGAGCGAGCCCCGATGGAGGACCACGTGGAATGGACGATTCCATCGGTTTGCTTCTGCATTGGAACCTGAATCCAGGAGGAAAAATCCCGACTCCGTACCACGCTCTCTTCCCCCTCTACTTTTAGACTCGCGCTTTAAACAATGCCCGCGTTAAACCGAAGGTATGGATACGGATGTATTTTATGTTAACTAAAAAATAACGAGTGCTACTTTGCAGGTACTTTTTACAAGGATTCGCATCTGGATTCGAGGTTGAGTCGAGGAGAAAAAGTTTGGGTTTCGTGGCACGTGCAATCGCTCCTGCTCATTTTTCTCTCTTTCTGGGTCCGTTATAAAAAATATATCTAGTATGTAAAGTAAAGACAAACACCGATGGTGGTGAATATAATATTTCCACGAGTCTCGGTTTTAATTATATTTATATATTAAAAAATTTTGTAATGTAGAGAAAGGTCGTTACTTCCTTGGGACAGAGTTGCAGAAATATCTTGGGTAACATCTGTATTTAGAAGTGAAATCATTGTTGACCGATGTATTTCGCCATGCTCAATGTGTAAAGGGAGTAAACGCAGCCACGTTCGTCCTATTGCCATTGACAAACGAATGCACCATTATCACGTGAGAGGCTCTAAGTAGTGAATCACCGCATCCTTATTACGTGAGAATATCGTTACGTAGCTGGTAACAAAACCAGCGATTCGTTGTAATTATGTAATTAAGTTCTTTGTGTTAACAGGCTGGGCGTGATTAAAGGAGGATATCACGCAGGCGTAGATCTCCCATTAAGCTCTGCGTACCTGTCGACTCAATGAGATCCGATAAGTAATATTCTTTTTCCTTCTGGCTTCCAACTTGCCGACTGTAACGTTTGCCGAAGGAACGGCCTGTCCTCGCGGCGATCGTTCCAAAGTCGAAGCCAATCCGCGACAAAAGCGGCGTGTCCAAGGTACCCCGGCATAACGGACGAGGCGGCAAGATGGCCGTGCCAGATTCAGGTTTGTTGACACGGATCTCTCTCTCTTCGTCTTTGGCCTGGCGGATGGAAAGGCGGGAGAGGCCGCGTTCGCTCTTTCCGTCTCGCGTCCTCTCTGCCACCCGTCGCCTCCCTCTCTCTCTCTCGACCCGTGTCCGTTCTTACGTCCACGTCTCTTACGTCTTGCGTCCACGCGACTTACGTACGCATACGTGTAAACAGGTACACACGTCACGGAGTCGCAGGTACAAACGGGCATGGATTTACAAGAGCTGGATCGATGTCACTGTGTGCAAACGCGTTCAGTCGTGTCCATCATGTATGAATATATTTACATGCACATACACCGGCGTGCGTGGCCCGGCAACAAGATGCACCCTCGTGTATTAACCTGTATAAATGCGGAGCGCTTCCAAACCTCGGCGTCATTTAATCTGAAATTTACTCGTGTCATGATTTACAGGTGATTCGCACATCCGATTAGAAAAATCGGTTTCCTTAGGGATGTTGGAAGTAACATGGACAAACGAGGACCCAGCTACAGAGCTACTTTGTTCTAACGTGGAAGTATTTCCGTCGAGTATACACATGTGGAACGGAAAAGGAATGTAACTTGACTTTGATAGAGCGCAGAGTCATGGCCAGGCGTTTTTTGCCGGAGATTATATTTTATGCGAGCATTGATTCGATGTATGTAATCTCTGTCTTCCAACGTTCCCACGGTCTCCTTGAATGGACATTAGCGTTTAAAATTAACATGTTCACGGGGCTGTAACAATCAGGTCGCTGTTCTGTCCATTTGTAGAGGCTGACGTGATCGCTTTGTGATTTCTATCATTGGTGTCACAATGACTTCTTTCTGCATCGTGATAGGTCTACCTAACTTAAGGCGGCACATCTGTGTTCTCAAAAATAGCATAAAAATTGCGTATCGATGATTGAGAATCGAGTTCATACGAGTTTCGCGTAAAAATTAATAATAGGAGGCGGACCTTTACATTTTTTTTTTATTAACAGAACGTTCTTCCCTATTCAACCCTCCAAAGTGTTAAATAGGTTTACTTATATATTATTGAGACTGAAGAAATGCACATTCTTTACATGATCACAGACTAATTAATACGACCTTATTCGTCGGGAATTTAGTACGTAACATTTTTACCTTACACCTGTATAATTTTTATGCCTTTGAAGAAAATAAGGAATATCACTAAGTTAGTACACTAATATAATCACTGCAGTAATCTCAATATATTAAATATCACCGTTAAACTATCTGGATTCAGGAAAGTGAATATGCAGCTAGGGATGCTTGCTACACTGTACTTCCTTCACATATAAGGAATAATATTTGGGCGTTCAATAAAAAATATACAAAAAGGCACCATCAGCTAACTCTAGACATAGGACAAATTTTATGCATTGGGTACCTTAATTTAGGATGGAGGTACCCATCCACCAAACGTTTTTTCCAACTCAGCTGCGACCGCGAAGCAGAGATGATCATTAAATGGCGATGAAACAACCTGCATAGTAAGAAATTCGTTAATAATTTTCTTTCGCGGGTCTATAAGTCATAAACGTACCTGAACGCCAACTGGTAGCCCTTGTTCATCTAATCCTAGTGGAACTTGACAAGTTGGGAGTCGTAAGACATTGAAAAGACACCAGTAACCGAAATTGTATGGTCTTAAGTACGTAGAGAAGTGATAATTCGCGGTTGACGGATAAGACGGATAAAACAACACTCCATTGTCGCCTAATTTATCCTGAAAAAGAATTGGGTTAGTACTGGTTTTTAATAACAGAAGTTATGATAATTATGTTGTATAAACGTTCAGATTTTCTAAATAACTAAGAATGTGGATGTACCAATAAAAATTGTTTCATTTCAGCAGTCGTATTCTTGGCCCATTCACTTTTTTCTTTCGGAAAGAGGTCTTCATCTACTAATTTTAGTATCGCAGCGAGTGTCAACGCGGAAGATCCTTTCAATAATTTACAAACCTCTATTGAAGCACTTGTCGTACCCTAAAAAAATTAATTTCTTAGAAGCTGTTAACAGCAGAATATCTTACGTGAAATCCCATCTATTAACCTTTCTGTTAGTAACGTCATGTTTGAAGTTTACGTTTTCTTGAGTCATCCAATATCGCCATAATCTGTAGCTGTACTCCGAACCAGGTAATCTTACCTGAAACAAAATTGGTGTTTTGCAAATTCTTTTCAGTAAAACAGTAGTAATGAAATTAATATCCTGCCAACCTTTGTTGCCTTTCCAGTAAGTTGTTCGAAATGGCGCACTGCTTTACTCAAAGCAGCTCGCATCGAAGGATCTACTTTACTTGCTCTCAAATCGCCAGATCCTTCTTGATAGAAAATATTCAAAGACTTCAAATCTACTGGAGTACCTAATTTCAGTTTTGAGATATTCTTCCCCACCAAAATTTTCAGAAAGGGTTCTAAATCTTCAGCTTTTTTACATATAGGTCCTGCTTCTGCCATAGAGTTTGGAAAATCTTCAGCTCTTAAGCCAACGCCTTTCAGCGGAGTGAGACCTGCATCACATGTAGAACATAACTGAGAAAATGCTATTCTGATAGAGAATTCATGGCTCGATGCATTACATGATTGCGATATGAAAATTATAGCTAATTAACCTTCGCTCGGTTTATGGCCAAATACGCCATTGAAGAATGCTGGCATTCTTATGGAACCTCCAATATCACTGCCGATGCTGAATGGAACTCCACAGGATGCAACTATGGCTGCGTCTCCTCCACTGCTTCCTCCAACGTTTCTAGTAGTATTATAAGGATTGTTGGTTTGTCCATACACATTGTTTCTAGATTCTGCCCACATATTGAGTTCCGGTATGTTGGTTTTGCCCAGAAGAATAGCACCTGCTTGCTTCAGATATCCAATGACGGTAGCATCTTCCTCGGATAGGTGGCCTTTCCGGCTGACCAAACCCATTGTATGCGGTAGACCTTGCGATATGCCAATTGGTATTATATTAATTGATCGAACTACAACAATATAATTAACGACGGTTAATACCTTTTGCCTCATTGCTCTCTTTAGTTGTAAATGGAACACCCAAGAAAGGTTTTTTCTTAAAGACATCCGGATCAGCACCACTTTCAATCAATTTATCTACTTCTTTTGCTTCCTTAATAGCAATATCGTAGCACTCTTCAACAATTGCGTTGATGTATCCATTCACTTCTTTACACCTTTCGATACATGTTCTAACGATTTCCTCGGAGGTTACTTTTTTGGTCCTAACAATTGACATTAATAATAATTTCTCTTAATGCCAGAACGGAAGTATAGTGCAACTTATCATGATGAATACCTAATCTTTTCTGCCAAAACAATGGCGCTATCCAGAAGCAGATCATTCTTCACTGGCGGTACACGTTTCTCTTTGCCTTTGTAGTATAACCCAAAGATAAAGTCAACGAAACAATCGAAAAAGCAATGTAGCTGCACAATGAGACATCGAAGAAAGTCACAAGCCAATTTCTTGAAGGCATCCATTCTCTCTTTCGAGTCACCTCCCTAGAAAACATAAAAACAGATTTACTTATTTCAACATAAATGTTCCCTACGCTAAACATCCAGACGTAGAGCTTAAATTTTCCTTGCCGTCATCAAATTCCCGTCTTATAATCCCTGATTAAATTTGCACACGTTGCACCACAAGGTCTGTTTCGCCAGAGCTCGACGGAAGCAGTAACGTATTAACATAAATTTGATAAAACGTAAATATAGAACATTACCTGAGTTATCCTTAAAATGGTATTGTTAAGAAGCTGAAAGGTGTACTAAACGTCGGTCTGTAAGTAATATGTGCAGAGTAATCACTTAATAAATTAGCATAAGTTAGACAATCGCATGAACACCTGAGACCGGTTACGCCACACAAACACCGCTTATCCTTATTGTGCGTATACCTTGCTTTGCCTCCTTGTGGACATATTTTGAATTTGTGTTGAACACGTGACACAAGTTACAGTTACTCGAATAACGATTCTACCAGCTTTGTCATTGATAACGACCGGCCAACCAGGGACGATGATAAACAGGAAGGATACCAGGAAACACCAATGCCACCGCACGAAAGTCGTACTTGCCAGCGCAGACAACTGAACTTTGAACGAAATTCCTTCGAACATTTACCTCGGCAAGGGTTGCGCTATACTAGCGCCATCAGGCGGAATACACAACGTCTACCGGGAACTATCAAAATTTCACAAACGACCATCGGCTAGTATAAATATACCCAGTTACCGTAGTCGGTAATAACACCACCACTACATAGGTAAGATTATTTCTCCAGTTCATAAGACATTAGGTTCCCATGCGCCGGTAAGGCAGAGTTTGAAGGTCCCTCAAGTCCCGCCAGGGGCGCGTCGGTCGATCTGATCCTGCTCCTCTGGAACGTATCGGGGAGATTAAAACATCAAGAACGAAAAGGATCGGTCTAAAATTCGGTACGACTGCTGAAAAAAAAAAATAACAACAGCACAATTGCCATAAATGTAAATGAAAATATTTCTTTGGACTTTTTCTTAAGCAATCAGCTGCAAATTCAGAATGGCAAACACCCTCTTCGCACGAGTGTCGGAGGCCCTTCCATTTTTTACCCGTCGCCTCAAGAGGACCCTATAGAATTACACGGACGACGGCGGGCATCTTTGTGTTCCTGAAATCCGAAAAGAAAACGACGCCGGGTGAGAGTGTCACACGATAGCGTTGCGGCGTCGTGTACCGCGGCCGGTTTTTCGACGCCCTCGGTGCCGGTCCGTGCGAATCTCACAGGGGTAAGTATCGGACACTTCATATTTAACCATCTGGTATGTACTTTCAGGGCAAAGAAGACCCGGGGCCTCTGCAAAGTGTTCTCGCAAAGGATTCCGCGCCATTGGGAGGAGAACGCTCGGGAGACTGCCTCTGAATTCGAGCCTCTGAGAAGCTAGGGGGATAAAGCAGAAGAGAATGGACCATTTCACCACTCTTTTTTCTTTTCGCCGGGCGTGACGCGCACCCCCGTGAATGCCGCACCTCGATTATGCAAAAGCGACGACCCATTGTACAGCGGTGCAGGGCAATCACACCTCAGTGCATTGGCGTCAAATCCGCGCTATAAAAAGACGCGTCTAAAGCCCCCGGTCTTGCGTGAGTCTTTCGTTCCTTCTTCGTCGGAATATTAACGGTACGCGTTTATTTGTAATAAATTCGATCATTTATTAGGAAAAGATGAGAGCGTATAGTACAAGATCCCATAGTTAAGCCCGACGCCATAGCGTGAGCGTGATAAGGACCGATGACGCGTTCGCACGTAGCTAGCCATACTGATAACGAGCCTCCCATTAATGGCAGTAAATAATTGTCACGTATTCTCTACTTTATTATTATTATTCTTTCTAACCGCGAAACATTTTCGCTGGTATCGGTCAGTCGTTATGAAAATTAAAAATCACTTTGGTATCAATATGGCTGTCTGTACAGGCGCATTAGATGCATTACGTGCGAACTACTTAAACTAGCAGGTATTACGTTGACAATTAACGTGGGGAACATATCACAATGGATTCTACAGCGGGCCTTAGTCACGAACGTACATGCCTTAGTAATTAGGGGATTGTTTGTAATTAATTATGGTCACAAAGTGCCAAGGGACAGCGTGACCTACGGCAGTGAAGATACATGTCCACAGTGGCGGCGATTACGTTATTATTTAATTTTAATTATGTTTACAGGGTACACTTAAGTGCTGAGCTTCTCTAAGAGCTACTACCTAGTACGGTTCTCAATTTTAAACGATACGAGTTTATAAGCGTATATGCATACCTTTATTTACACCATACTCGCTTAGAGATCTCCCTTAAAATCCGATACCGCTTTAACTACTCGTCAGAATGGGAGAGCCTCGAAAGGGTCCGCGATGAAAAAATATGTACAAACGCTGCGAAGGAAATAAATAATTTCTCGTAGTTAGCGGGCACGAAGGATCCTAAAGGCGCGTCGAGCGAAACGAAGTCACGTAGAATTATCGCCGAGATCATTTAAGCATCGTACGTCCTGCTTTACAGTTTAGCTGCACCTAGAGCGCGCTATTTTCTACTCCATTTCTTCTCGACGGTTCGGCCGCGTCACAAAATGGCGGCCTTCGCACGTCCTTCCGTACACGTACGAAGTATACGAGGTTCGTCGAGCTTTGACCTCCCCCAAGAAAACCCCGAAGCGAAATCCACCGCGCAAAATATAATAACATACGATTTTCACTTACGTCCATTCGCATGACAAGAAGATTGCGTTCCCGGGGGATAATTAACGCGCCGGCGAGGGCGCGCTCTGTCGGCAAACGCTCCTCCTAAGTGGCTTCGAGTAGTCCGTACCAACACCTTTTTATCAACCGACTTCGCCAGTGCCTTTGCCGACCGATTTCAATGTCTCATAAGAAACGTTACAACGATCTCGGAACCACGAGAGGCCTCTCCTATATTGTGGATATCGAAGCGAGAGAGAAGATGCCGAAATCCATCTCCCCTCGGGAGTCCCCGACCTGGTCCCTCGACAAGGGACTTCCGTTCCTTTCCTCGTTTCTTGCCACCCGGGACTTCCGACCACATTTAACGACCCATGTCGAAGCTGAAAAAGATGCGAGCAGACGGGGCATATGTACAGACTGCTTTGTGCATCGCCTTATCTCGAGTTGCCTCTCCTTCGACGTCTATTTACATCCGGCGAGGATATCGGGGCAGATGTGGCCTCGTGCGAACCGCCTTAATTCCTCAATTGCTGGTGAATATCGCTAATCGGAGGTCGATACTACCTCGATACCTCTACCGGGGTCGATCCAGAAATGATTCCCCATGGGATCTCACGAGCTTGCCTAGGTTACCTCTCGAAACGACCCCCCTGAAGCCAAATCCCTGATGACGTAGGGTCAGACCTGAGTCTCACTCCCACTGTGGTACTTCCTGTGTTTCCGGTGCTTTTTGTGACTCCTGTGTGGCAAGGGACCTCCGTTGACGATGTTCTGGTGCAGAAGTGGATGCTGGGGAGCCAGGTGACTGAGATGGTGGATCTGATGAGGAGTGGGACTGGTGGACCCGGGACTGTAGCAGTGCACCACGGGCACAGGTACTGCATGTGGATGACACTTATGCGGTGGTTGTTTGCAGGGTGGAAGACGTCTCCACACGTTCATGGCGTTGGGCCACCAGATCCAGGAGGCCGCCATCACCCCTGCTCCCAGGGTGGCCACCAGTCTCAGGACGAAGAACTGGAGAACGGGTTTAGAGGGCATCCTGGGTGCCGCCGAAGGCTCCGGAGCCCTCAGCCAGCTGTCTCGACCCCACCACTCGTAGAAGGTGGTGCTGGTGGAACACATCATGGCTATGGCGTAGACACAGGCGAAGACACCCACCCTGGTCAACAGCAACTTCTGTCTGCGATGGATCTCTGCCGGGGATTTGGACAGCTCCCTTTGGCGGGCCAGCGAGCTGGGTGGCAGAGAATTTAGGGGGTTCAAGGGGTTAAGGGGGTTCAAAACCGGAGTCGGCGTCACAGAGGGTCTTGGTAGAAGCAGGGCAGCCATGCCCACCAGGAGGAACGTTAGACCAAAGCAGAGGTAGATGAACTGGGGAGCCAGGACCAGCACCAGCAGCGAACGCGTGCTCTGCTGACCCACGAAACAGCTTCCTGCAAGCAGAACAAGAGTTCCCATGAGGACCATGGTGTGGGAAAACTCGATCGTCCCATTCCTGAGAGAAATGGACCACGGCACTGGATGCTGTAACGCGCCTCCTCTTAATACGACCCCACGATACTGGTTTTCACTTTTATGGTGCCCATCAACTACCACGTAAAGAGGGTGCGATGGTACAGCGTTCGGCATTGGGTTTATTAAGACAGCTAACGACCGGCAATTTATGGAGCCGTTTCGCGGACGTGTCGCCGGTGACATTTTTTCTTGGCTGGATGATTTTATGCGAGTTGTCTCACCAACCGGTGTAGCGTCCAGCACAAAGTGCGACCTTATTAAAGGCCATAATGCGGATCGTTCTGGACGTATTCGCGTTCCTCGGGACCGGGAACGTTCCTGGCACTTACTTAAATAAGCGAGATTATGGTCGTTGGCAGCGAGGAGCGGACATGTCCGGCGCAAATAGACGGGGTGCGAATTACGCGAGTGCCCCGGATCCGCGGCCTCGTTACCAAGTCCCGGGCCTCGTACGCGGCCATGTAAATTGCGAAATAACCCGGGTAGATATTAACCCAGAAGGCGGCACTTGATACGCGGTATTATCGTAATTACGTGTTGTTAGGGCAGCCCGGGGATTATGCAAATATACAGGGCCCGGTTGGCGCTACGGCCAGGCCGGCTTCTATTTTAAAACCGGGCCGGGCTTTACGAATTATCTGACGATCGGTGCGAAATGTGCAACGCATCGTCGATACACCAACAAAGTGCAGCCAGTGCGACCACTCGAGATATGACGCGGTTGAAAATTGAATATCGATTTAGATAGCGCGAATCCTGGGCACTTTCCCCTTTTTTTTTTTCACGGGACCAGTTAACGTTTTAAGCGCAGATGGAAATGGTTTCTAGATGGATAGCGCGACTCCTGGGCTTCCCTTTTTTTTTTTCACGAGATTAGTTAATGTTTTAAGGGCGGTTGGAAATCGTTTCGAGGAGAGGTAATCGGCCGACGCGGTCTGGTAGGAAGTTGCCTCGAAGTTCCCTGAATGGCACCTCCAACTAGTTTCCATTATTACGGGGTGCCATTAAGGTGTCCGCCAGTTCTCCTCGTAAGGCCACCGGATTTCGCATACAAATCGAGGCGCGATGCAACCAGGAAACGCATTCGGCGCTGCATCGCTCCCAAGGGCCCGATGCGCGCGCATTGCTCGCTCGTTGCATGCCCAATGCATACGATTATGCAGATCTTGGGGAGGGACATTATTTTCTCGATTTGCCAGGGCCGAGTGTCGGACTGACGAAACGAGAGCGTTGGAGAGGAGTGCCTGGCTTGGATCTCGCAAATCCTTAGAATTGTATGCAATTATGCAAATCTCCCCTCGAGACGTCGAATTACTCCCTCGCGGGGCAATTCGCGCCGAAACGTGGATGCACGCGAAGTGCAGTGATGCGCTTTGGAGGCCCTACTTCCGGTGGAAGTTGGCTGATCGGTGATAAGCGCAGCTAAGGAATCTCCCGATCGCTCAATTAAGGGGTTCCCGGTAATAATGGACGTTAATGACCTGATATTTCCTTTTTCGGGCATCCTATCCAGCTCGATTCGCCGTTTCTGAGATCTTTATCCGAGTACTTTTGCAAAAATATCGCAGAAGCGAGATGGAAACTTAGAAAAGTGAACACGGTTCGCCGCCGTACTCGGAGATGGCGCCACGAGCGCCGCGGTAGGCAGTCTCGCTCGTTTCGGCGCCATATTTGAATCTGAACGAGTGAGTAACTCACGGCTACTCGATGCTGGCAATTATTTGCAGGTTCCTCGAAGCGAGTCGAGTCATCCTCAGCGCTCCCTAAACGTATTGGCAGAAAAACGCGAGGCGCTTCCCGTTTGGCACATAATGTCCCGCCTTTTTGTGGCCTGAGCGGAACGATCGAGGCCCGCAAAAAGCGAAGTGGCCGATGCATTGCACGTCGGGTATCGAGTGGTAAAGGGCCTCCCTCTGTCGGTAAGTCTTGGAAGGAGAAAGGGAGGCCTCGATCCGACACAGGGGAAAGAGAAGGACGAAAAACTTGTCGACGAACGAGATGGTGTTCTCCCGGCACGCGACGATCTCTCCCGTTTCTCTCTCGAAGAAATAAAGCACTTGCGTGTTCCTGTTGAGAAAAAATGAAATAAAGTACACCAGGAGGAAGTTAATCATTATTGCCCACCTCGCGCGCGGTATTTGCTCAGGTTCGGAAACGACTCGTCGGGAATCGCTGGTAGCGACGGTATTTACCAGATTTCATTCACAGTTCCTGATGAATCCTCGCAGGAGGTATTGCAGGAATTATTTATTATCAACCGCGTGCCCTCCTGCACCTCGCTGATGCTCGCGTCATTCACGTTAATTGACAGTAATTACCGACATAAGCGCGCGACGTAAACTCCCTTCTGGGCTTGTCGGAAAACCTCTTTGACTTGCGTAACCGCACCGAGAGAGCCACGGGAATTGCGGAACTATAAAAGGAATGGAGACGGCCGACTCGAACACCCGGAATAATCCTTTCTTCAACCCTCATGCGCGAGAGAAAAAGCTGCCATTTCGGGGCACCCGGAATTCAGGGACGCTGGAAAAAACTCAACTGGCACGTGGCTCCTGTGAGAACCTCTTATTTTATTTTTTCCTTTTAGGCGAAACGCGGCCCGAGCTCGTGACATTCCTCGGGAACCTCTTCGGCATGTCGACCGGTCCTTCCGTCATCGGCAAGAACGCCGACGTCGCATTCCGGGCCAGAAAGAAAAATTCTCCAGATGCGACGTCCGCGACCTGCCCCAACGACGAGATCCGGACCAGGGTGACCTCGGCCATCATATTTCACATCTATTTCTCTTATTTTCCGCTCATTAATCACTCTTTAACTAGCAGAAAATTGAAATTTCCACGTGAAGCCGTTACCGTGGCGCTCAACGGCCGCGCCCGTTGTTATTCGAATTCGTACCTAGTTTCGAAGTTCGCGGTCCATAATTCGAACTTCTCGACAAAATGGCGGACCAGAGTTTGTTTTCTTTTTTTAAGCGCGTCGATCGGTTGGTCGATTATTGTCTTCTCGCTCTAGCGAGAACTCGCGAGATGATCGAGGTGGAGGTTGAGCACTCCAACACCCCCGATTGGCCGGACGGCCGTAAAATCACTCCTCGAAGTGGAGAAGAGAGCTGGCGGAGAAAAATACGACAAACCCGACGAGCGAAATTGGCCCTGACCAATTGGTCGTTGAACGACAAGGTCGTAATTACGCTGGGCTCCGGCATGGAGTACGTACTCGGGGCTCGAAGGCCAAAGAAGGCCTCCTTGCGCTCGCACTCACCTGTGAGCGTGTTCGCGCGTAAATCCTCCGGCGTAAACACGAGTGTGCGAGTAACCGCGAGAGAGGACGCGTGCGAATGCAGCCCTCCACCCGAGTTCGCAAGTGGAATGACGAATACGGGTGTCGAACTCGTTTCATTCTACTATGTATGACTCAGGGCTCGTTACGCGATTGTCGGTAATCCGTACAGGTTCGTTCTATAGAAGCCAAAGTGAAACTGCAGACCGTAACGCCATGTTGCTTCTTCACGGTTATACACACCACATCATATCTCGATTTACACCTGTTTTCACATGTTATATGTTTTAGAATTTCGACTCGATGTAAACATAAATACGCTCAAGTACCCCTGATTTTTTATGCAGAAGAAATATATAATACAAAGTACACGGTGTATTTTTATAAACGGTCACCCATCCAAGACCTGCCCCCGCCCGTCGTAGCTTAACTTCGGTGGTCTAACCCAAAACCGTGCATTTTAATGCGGTGTAAACGCTGACGTTTCGTACTTTTAGGCTGGAAACTCGGGAAGTTGGTAGTTTTACGTACGTATGTATATATAAAATCCTGGAACATTCGCAGATGGCGGATTTGTGCGACTTTCGGAGGTGCTCGAGTGCGGCAAGTGGCGCCGCTCGGCGTCGATGAACGAAACCGATAAGTAGGACCACGGTGGACCGGTGATATCGGCTCGCGGCGATCTCGTTGGCGAACCACGACCGAAGGTGCTTCGAGATAGGCCGAAGGAGAGCCCGAAGAGCAGAACGCGTGCTCTTCGTCCGGTATCTCCGTGGTCCCATCTAAATTGCTTCTCATTTCCCTGCCCCCGCCCTCTCGAGGGCTAGCCTCGTCTCTCTCGCGCGCATCGCGCGGGCATCGCCGCGTCCTTTTTTGGCCTCGCCGCGCAGAGGCCGCTGAACCAACCTGAACATCCTTCTAACCCTCCAAACGAGTCCCGGTCGAGTCACGACCCCTCGAGCAGGCCTAACAAGGGAACCCCGAAGACTCGAAAAAAAACCTTCGACAAGACTATCCCGTTAAGTTCATCGGCGAGGTCTGCAGACGGGCGAAGATGACACGAATGTACAAATGATAATTGCACGGCGCGCCATAACTTAGGAGGGTCCGATGTCGTGCTCGTCTCGAGGAATACTCCTCTTTATGGTCATTCCTCGTAACCGAAGGGGACTTGAACGTTAAAGAAGTCTCGTTAATGACCTCCCGTTGTAAACTCGGGATCGCCGCGGTGATCAAGCGGAAGGACTTAAGGACTCCATCCTTAAGGACGAGTCCTTAAGGACTCGGTCACGCGAGTGCAATCGAATCCACTTGGGTGAGTTCCACCACCTTGGACCGGGCACTTCCAAACAAAAAGGGGACGAAGAAGGACTCTTATCCAGAGTCGTTAGAGCTGCCATCAAGAACTCGCCTCGAACGTTAACTCGCGAGCTAATTCGCGCCTCTGATGTCCTCCAGCTTCGAGGCGATCATCGAGAAGCGCGAGTTCCAGGGAAACCCTTTACGGCCTGCACGACCATTACGTCCGATTGCGCTTCATTTGTTCAAAGCCTCCAGGCGCTTGTACCTGCACTTGGCGCGGAACTCTGCCGAGTTCTATGATTTCGGCGGGTGTTTCCTGTTGCGTATCCCAAGACCA